GGTGGGAGGGTCTGCTAGGGAGGGTGTGCTGCTAATTGGCTGGAATGTGTCTGCTGACTGTGAGGTACAGGGTCAAAGTTTACTCAATGATGACGAATAGGGGGCGGATCGCACCGTGCATATGTTCGCCCGCCGTGGCGAACGCGAACATGCTATGCTCGCCAGGAACTATTCGCCAGCGAACCGTTCGGTGCATGACTAATCTCTAATGAGACATGAAGGGGTGTTTTATAAACCCCTACATACTTATTAACCCTAAATAGGGCTATAAAACATACCTTGCCGGTATCAGTTAAAAGGCAAATTTCTCTGTTGAGACAGGAAGGGGTGCTAGCCCTACATACTTATAAACTCTTAATAAGACAAACATGGGGTGTCTGGCAGCAATGTATTAGCTTATATTCAAATGGCCATTGGAATAAAACTAAAGAGCCTCCATTTTGTTTAAATGTACATAAGGATTTAGGCTAGAGCGCAGGTAATGTTCTTTTTGTTTTTACCAGGAAGTCTTTATACTCTGTGGTGGAACCGCTGCCTGTTTGTGAAACCCCCTTCTCTTTAACATGTGTTTCCCCTGTATGTTCATTTATTGTGCCTGCTCCCCATTCGGGAGTGCTTGCACGAAGGGAATTCATTCACCACCTGAACGGGGACCACCCCAATACCTCATTTAGAATGTTAGTTTAGAATGTTCACATCTCACAACATAAGTGTCAAAACCACATGGGAAACAATTTATGAGTGCTTCCCTGGGTGGCTGCCATTCGTAGAGATGAACACCACCAGGGGGAGCACTCATGGATTGTTTCCCGACTCGTTCATCTCCTGAACGAAGACCTCCCCGGTGCCCCACTAGAATGTTCATGCCAATTAATTATAACGTTTGCGCTCGCAACATAGGTGTGAAACCACAAGGGAAGTAATTCCTGAGTGCTCCTGTGGATGGCCGCCATTCATATAGACAAACGCTAGCCAGGGGAGCATTTGTACCCCAAAAGGAGATGCTTCCCTTGTCTGGGTTTCACACCAGAACCTCGCAAACAGAGACTTGCCAATCGAGAGACCAAGGCGAGGGTCCCTGAGATTGGTGTGGGCACTTTTGGGGCACTGGCAAGTTTTATGGGCTCTCCTGTGCCTGGGAGACAAAGGGATGGTCCCCTTTTCCCACACCTACACTCCCAGGCACAGAGGCTTTTGGGCAGAAGATCCCTGGCTTTTGGTGTGGGGGACCCTGTGAATTTAGTGGCAGGCTTTGGGGACAAAGGGAACGGAGTTCCTACCCATGCTGGACCCCAGGTAGGGGGAGGATCTTGGGATGTGACCCTGTATGATTGTGTGGTAGACTCCTTGCATGGGGTTATGCATAAAAGCCGTGTGTGGCCAAGTGTTGCTGTACCTCCAGAACTGTGTGTGTCGTCCCGTTACTGGGGGGAAATGGGTCTTCTTACTATCTAACTGGTTCCCAACCAGCTAAAGGAAGGGAATTAGCAGATGTAACCGGTCAGGTTACCAGTGGTCCGCTACATACTCTATATTTGGTTGTGATTGGTTGCAGAGTGCTGTGATGTCATAAGCGTGTACACATCATCAAAAAGCACCCCATAGACTTACAATATAAAATATATAAGACAAATAGAAGAGTTCCGTGTCATTAAAGACACTAGAACGAGGTACCAGGAAGCTGGGAACAAGTGGGGAATGCCCTGTGTGTATTAGAACATGGAAACGACTTAATTTCTGTGTTTGCAAAGTTCCTCAAGGTACAGGTATTGTGACACAATTGCTCTTAGCCATCTCTAGTCCACTGTCAACAATAAGGCTTTGTTGGAATCAGACAAATAATCCAAGGGAACCATAGAGGAAATAACATCAACTTGGAAATCTACCTCCTTAGCCTTGTTACGTACAGACTTAGACTTAGACTAGGAAACTTCACTTTCTCTTGGCCCTGAAATACTGCTTCTATGGTATACCCTTTTTCAGCTTAATCCATAATTTATATAATTCTCCTTGTGTGAAAATATCTACAAAATATCTAGACTCTGGAAATGTACAAATATCTGGACACTGGAGAGGTGCAAATGTCCAAAGGTATGAGTCAGAGCTGTCCTTTATACTCCCTCCTTTTTAATCTATCTTTGGATAGATCAGACTGTTACACACCTTACCATCCTTTTTGTACATTCCTACAGGTAACCTAACACTTCCACTCTAGGCATTTGCAGATTATTTATTATCATACCATGTTAATCTAAACTCAACTTATCCTTGCATACATGCTGTATGGACGAGTTTTTATTTTTTATTTTAATCTCTCAAAATCACCCACTCTGCATTTAGGTACCTGTCTACCAATGGGACCTCTGGTCTATGGTTCCTGGAACATACTCGGCTCTGGATTGAGTTCTCTGGATAGGTATACATGCAATTCTAGAAAGTTCTTTGCAGGCTTACATAGATTTGGAATAAATTCTGCACAGTTCCTGCATTGATGTACTTGTATAAGTCCAGGACATGTAAGCTACCAAATGACCATCTTGAACTTCTAGAGAGGAGACCTGGGATGGAAGACCTTAATAATTGTAATGAAAAGCTTGTCCTTTCAGAAATAAGCGCTATGAATTATTGGAGGGGTGCCTAACATGCCGAGGGGTGAGATTCACTAAGGAGTCACTTCGACAGTTATACAAGATAAGTATTCTTGCAAAAAAAAATTTTTATACCACTAGCTCTGTTGTTTCTTTTGATAAAAGAACTTATAAAAGAAGTGGGATATTCTAAAACGGCTTACTCTCAATATATACAGAATGTAGAAGATAAAGTAAAATAGGAAGAAAAAAAAGAAAAAAAAACACAAAAAAAAATAATCAGATAATTTTTAACTCTGGCACTGTAATGGCCTCGAAGAGAACGATGAAAGTGAAATAAAAAGGGAAGACTCCCAGACAAAAAGAGTGTTTTTTTTTCTCCCCTATTCCTAATAAGAAGAGACCAGATAAAAATAATATGGCTCCTGGAGACGCCCAGGAAGGCACCCCCCCCCAACGACAAGACCTAATATGTCATTTATTTGGGCGATCAATCATTATATGTTACTCAAGAATTCCTAGTGGAATAACTAGATGCACAATTGTCTGATATTTCTAAGGAAATATCGAAGAGCTTTTCAGAAATTAAAAAAGAAATTACAGACCTAGGGCTGAAGCTAAGCTCAATAGAAGACAAAATAAATAAAATGGATGAACAACTTATTACCTTAAAGAAAAAGAATAATAAAGTGGAAGAGAAGAGAAATTGTCACAAATTGACATGAAGCTTAGAGATTTAGAAGACCGGTCGTGACGCTCCAATCTAAGATTTAGAAACATTCCAGAAGATATAACACAGATTTTAATTTGAATCTCTAAAAGACTTTTTATTTGCTTTTTTTTTTTTTTTAAAGATATGGGCCTAGTAATAGAAGATCGTATGCATCATCTTGCTAAACCAAAAGGAGTGCCATCTCAATACCAAGGAGAGATGATAGTATAGTTTCACTCATTTACATACAAGGAACAAGTTACTAAAGCTAAAAGAGAAAATCCATCAAAAAGCGAAAAATGTAAAGAAATCCTAGTTTTTCAGGACTTTTAATTTCAAATCAGGCAATGGATAAATTCCTTTAGACAAGCTATTGGAGCTTTGAGACAACATGATATCCGATATTGGTGGCGATACCCATTTAAGCTAATCTTGTCATAGAAAGATGAGCAAATAAGCTTTGATTCCCTAATGCAATACAAGAGTGGTTAAAAATTGCAGTTATTAAATAAATATAATTTTAAATCAGAGGTAAGAATTGGGAAGGGAAAAGAAAAGGACAAAAGAAGCTACAAAATACTAAACTCTCTCTCTTTAGAATAACTATAGAAGATATTTATATTCATTTGGACACAAAAAAAATATTCACTTAATGTAATGATTAGAGTAGAGAGGACAACTGGATGTTCGGGTCCGGCGGGTTCGGCCGAACTATGAAAAAAAGTCCGGGTTTGGGCTCGAACTTGACCCCGAACCTGAACCCCATTGAAGTCAATGGGGACCCGAACTTTTGGCCACAAAAATGCCTCTAAAAAACTCCTGGAAAGGGCTACAGAGCTGCAAAAGGAAGTAAAATAAGAGTAAGAGTAGGACAAGTGCCCTGCAAACAAATGTGGATAGGGAAATCACTTAAAATAACATAAAAATTTAAAATACAGCTGAGCCATAAAATAGCACTAGATGGAATCTTTGATTTTAGCTTTGGGAAAACATAAATCAAAATCTAAAGCAAGGCTGTCAGGAGGATCACCAGAATTATCCATTTGAGAGAGGGTTGGAGTGCAGGGTATTCTCTTTCATTGTTCAAACTGAGCTCAACTCCTGATGCATGGAGAAAAGGCCTTCACAAGCCTCTGCTGTTGTGTACATAATTTATACTAAGTGACCCATAGGTTGAGGAGGGGGTGACCATGGCGGTGGAGGAGGAAGCAGCGGTGGAGGAAGATAATGAGGTAGCCAACACTGTATTTTATGTTTTTGTCTTTTTTTTTATTGTGATAGCCCACAAAATATTGGGACATACAAATAAAGAAACATTTGCGGCCTGCGCTGCATTTCTTGCAGTCCTGATGCATGGAGAAAAGGCCTTCACAAGTCTCTGCTAATGTGTACCTAGTTTATACTAAGTGACCCAAAGGAGGCGGTTGAGGAGGCGGTGACTGTGGTGGTGTAGGTGGAAGCAGCGGTGGAGGAGGAGGATGAGGTAGCCAACTCTTTATTTTATGGATTTTTTTTTATTGTAGTAGCCCACAAAATATTGGGACATACAAATAAAGAAACATTTGCGGCCTGCGGTGCATTTCTTGCAGTCCTGATGCATGGAGAAATGCTCAACTCCTGATGCATGGAGAAAAGGCCTTCACAAGCCTCTGCTAATGTGTACCTAGTTTATATAAAGTGACCCATAGGTTGAGGAGGCAGTGACTGTGGCGGTGGAGGGGGAGGATGAGGTAGCCAACACTGTTTATATATATATATATATTTTAATTGGAGTAGCCCCCAAAATATTGGGGCATATAAAAAAAGACAACTCTGTTCCGCAGAGTAGCTGTTGACTTTATAGTTGCGCAGGAACTTTGTTGACTCTAGAGAACCTCTGGCAAATCGCACATCCCCATGGCGGCGACTTTGCATGCGGATGTCATCCATATCAACTTTCGATGCCAGTTTCTGCGCCTTCAGGTAATGGGAAATCAGGATTCCATTCTGTACAGGGACCCTGAGAAACGGATACCACATACAAGGAAGGCAGCAGGCGCGCAAATGACCTACTCCCGACACGGGACGGTAGTTGTAATGCGTCCACTTGAAATCCTTTAACTCTGATCAATTGGAGGGAAGTCTGGTGCAGAGCCAATGACCCGTACGTGCTGCAGCTGAAACTCCACTATCGCCTGCTGCTGCTCACAAAGTCTCATGAGGCGGTGAGTGGGAAGGCCGAAGTTACACTGCAGCGCAGACAGGCGAGCAGTAGCAGGGTGACAACGCCAAAAGCGCGCACAGTCGCTACAGTGAATGTCACATCCTGACAGCGTCTGGGTCCTGGTCACCTCACTGTGAAACTACGAATGGTTCGTTAAATCTGATATGAACCCGAACTTTGTAGTTCGGGTTTGCTCAAGTCTATTATGGATCCTTTGATCGCTTCATGTATTACTTGGATAACTGGTAATTCTCGAGCTAATACATGCCGACGAGTGCTAGGGGACAGCTGCTCCACTTTTGCACCCTGCTCCCTCTTATGCTGTGCTGGTGCCTCTGTGCCACAGCACCTCTTCCTCCAAACTGCACACGTCACTTGCATGACCTTGATTCCATGTGGGGTCTAGGACCTCATCATCCTCCACATAATTTTCCACCCACTCCTCAACCCTGCCCTCCTTGCTGGTATGCACACTGCAGAAAGCCACAGCAGTTGGTACCTGTGTTTTTCCAGCATGTAAAGTCTGCAAAGGACATATGGAAATTGTTTTAGAATTTCCTCCAGCCAACAGTTTTCCCATATAAACTGACCTATCAGTTTAACTTGTGAGGGTATAGCCCAAGAATTACAATATTGTTGACGTACCTCTTAGCTATTGATTACTGGTTTAAACAAAGCAGCTTGTTATCTGGTAGTTTCTAGTGTAGAAAATATCAATCTGTTATCAAAGTGTTGCAGGTGTGAAACAATATAAATCAATTTGACTCTCGGATATGAAGTGAACACTCCAAATATACTATTTAGCGCCAAAAAATAATAATTGACTTCTTAAAACTCCAATGTAAGCAGCAGATTAGCCTCAAAACAATTAGAATGTTTACAAGTGCGCAATAAGCACACTATTAGACGCTTCGATTTGACAAACAGATTTGAAGAACAGGCCCCAAAATGTACTATTTAGCAGATTAGCAGCAAAACAATTAGAATGTTTACAAGTGTGCAGAAAGCACACTATTAGACGCTTCGATTTGACTCTCAGATTTGAAGAACAGGCCCCAAAATGTACTATTTAGCAGATTAGCAGCAAAACAATTAGAATGTTTACAATTGCGTTGTAACCGCAATATTAGACGCTTCTATTTGACTCTAAGATATGAAGTGCACGCCCCAAAATTTACTATTTAGCAGATTAGCAGCAAGACAATTAGAATGTTTACAAGTGTGCTGCAAGCACACTATTAGACACTTCTATTTGACTCTCAGATATGGAGAACAGGCATAAAAATTTACTATTTAGCAGATTAGTAGCAAAACAATTAGAATGTTTACCACTGCGCAGTAAGCGCACTATTAGACGCTTCTATTTGACTCTCAGATATGAAGTGCACCCCACTAATGTACTTTTTAGCACCCAAAAAATTTAACATTTTAAAACTGCAATGTGACAGCAGTATTTGACGATTCTATTTGACTCTCAGATATGAAGTGCACCCCACTAATGTACTACCCTACTAATGTACTTTATTTTAGCACCAAAATAAAAAATTACTTTTTAAAACTCCGATGTAACTGCGGTATTTGAAGCTTCTATTTGACTCTCAGATATGAAGTGCACCCCACTAATGTACTAGTTTGCAAAATTCTTTCCTAAGCTGTCCCTATCAGCGGCAGCATCCTCTCCCTACACTAATAAGACCACATGTGCGTGTGGCGTTACGCGACTCCAGCTTATATATGGAGTCTGGGTCAAATGCTACACTGGCCAATCACAGAGATGCCATTAGTAGGCATGGCTGTGATGGCTTCTAAGGGCACACGAGTCAAACGCTTGTTGATTGGCTGCCCTGCAGCCTTTGAAAACGCGCCATTAAGTCGCCGAACACCGAACTCCAACCTGAACATACAGTGATATGTCCGTGTTCGGGTCCGGGGTCCAAAAAACCTAATGTTCGGTACGAACCCGAACTTTTCAGTTTGGGTTCGCTCAACTCTAGTAATGATTAATGTTGGACACAGGCTCTCACTTAAAATTTAAAATAAAAAACGGCTGGGTTAGGATGTAGGAGAGAAATCAAAAGTGTGTACAAGGAAATTTAGATATATACATATTTAACAGTTCATAAGATTTTAATGCTCAAATAAGGATTATGAGTTAAAGTAGTGATTAGAGAAGAAAAGAGGATAAAATGCACTCCCACATAAAGTAATGTAATATAATTAATAACAGGGTAATATGAACACTTAAGGAAATAGATGTGAAGATTTGGTTAAACACAGACACTTTAATGAGATTAACACAATGAGAGTTAGAAAGGTGAAATTAGAGCGAGAAGGTGTAGAAATGATAAGTGCTTAAACAAATTATTTTTAGCCTATATAATCTGGTAAAGGAAGTTCTATAGAGTAAGATATCTCATTAAAGATATATAACACGAAGGTCCAGACAAAAGATAGAACTTGAATAAAATTTGGATAATCTTTCCAAAAAATCTTTAAATAGTTTTCTTTTAAACAAACTGATGTGTATAGTATAAAGAGAGAAATATTAATAATAAGAGAAAGGTACATAAATGTTAAAAAAACAACAACAATTGAGTCTTATAAAAACTTATTTTTGGTGGTCAATGAAATATTAGCTTAAAAATGTATTAAGGAGTACAGAAGGTAAACCAAACCAGAAGATATTTCTAAATAGAGATGTCGCGAACCGTCCGCCAACGTCTCTGACACATCCCGGCCAATCTCCAGCAGACCCTCCCTCCCTCCCAGAGCCTCCTACTTCCTGGACAGCATCCATGTTGACGGTTAGCGACATCTCTCGACATTTCTCTAAAGAGGCTCCTAAAATATGCAAAATAAGCAAAGTATAAACTCCCCACTCTAGTCCAGCCTTCTAATGAGGGATTGAGGATATATTTTTCATATAATTATAGAATAGCAAATAGGTATTGCTATACAAATAATAAAACTTAGCTAAACATAGTTAGTAGCATAAATTTAGCTCCATGCTTAGCGCAAGCCATTTATGTCCCCTACTTTGTGTCTTAAGCAGATATTAGGTACAAGCCAGCAGGAGCCTGGCCCGTTTGAGAATAATAGAGAAGAGTACTCATTATTTTCCTCAGTGTATAATTGTTTATTTGAGCTACGGAATAGTTTCAAGGCTCGATATGAATGTTGTGTATGTTTTTTGTTTACTCCGATGCTGTGTGGGGGTCCTGGGGCTTTGCTGGTTAAAAACTAATGATTATGGTTAAATTTATATCAGTGAATGCACAGGTTATGAACACCAATAGTAAAAGAATGCAGGTTTACAATTATCTTGTTAGGGAACAGGTGGACATAAACTTTTTACAAGAAACCCACTGGCATCAGTCAGATAAACATTTTTGGGGTGGTAAGGTTTCCAATTATTATACATGCCTCTATGAGTACAAAAAAAAAGAAAAGGGGAGTAACTATAATATTTTCTAATAACATCAAGGTGATCATCCATCAGGAAGTAGATCCTGAGGGAAGATTTCTAATTATGTAAGATCAATGAAGTCAATTATACTTTTACAAATATTTATCTACCTAACGTTGCTCCTGTCCCGCTTTTAAATAAGATTCTCAAGAAAGCTGAACAGATTAGAGTAGGCACTTTTATTGTTGCGGGAGACTTCAATTGTGTCTTGGATCATAATATGGATAATACATTAATGAAAGGGGTTAAAGTCAATGGTAGAATTATAAAATGTGCTAGATCCTTAAATAAAACTTTGAATAATTTTGATCTATATGACATTTGGAGAATTTTTAATCCTGAAATAAGGGATTATGCTGATTTATCAAAAGTTAATTTGTCCTACTCTAGAATCGATATGGTGTGGGAAAATGTAAATCTTATAAATAATCTACTAGATATAATTATAAAAACCTATATAAATTAAAATTTAGAATTTACTGTAGGGGAAATAAGACTATTAACTAATAAATTGAGGAAACAACAAGCTAGATCACATATAACTAAAATTAAATATAATAATAAGTTATATATGTCTCCTTGTGATATTGGAAATTGCTTTAATAAAATTTTGGACAATTATACAATTTAAAGACAAATAAAACAAATAAAACTAATATGCCAAATATCTCTACAATACAATTAGATACTCTGAATCGAAATATAAGTAAAGAAGAGGTAAAGAAAGCAATCTCCAAATTAAAGATATCTAAAACACCGGGTTCAGATGGATTTACAAATGTATTCTTTTCTGGTTTTAGATCACAGCTGAGCAGACATCTGGCCATATTATTTAATAACATTGTCCAATTAGGTTCTTTTCCACAGGAAATTACATGAGCTAATATTTTTCCTATATTAAAATAAGGAAAGAACCTTCAAGATGTCTCTAGTTATTGACCTATCTCCTTAATAAATACAGATATTAAATTATTTTCATCTATTATTGCTGAACGTTTAAAAGAAGTAATCAATAATTTAATTCATCCAGACCATATTGGGTTTGTACCCGGGAGATGCTCAGGCTCTAACACCAGGAAAATTATTGATATATTAGATGGTTCTAAGAAAAGGGAGGTACCGTTGTTAACTATTGCAGTTGACGCCGAAAAAGGCGTTCAATAGATTAAGTTGGGCTTTTCTAGATCAGGTCTTATGGGCATACAATATACAGGGATGGATATTAGAGGCAATTATGGCCATATATAAAAATCCATCAGCCAGAGTTGTCAGGCCACATATATGCTCTGACTGAATTATGATTAATAATGGTACTAGACAAGGATGCCCATTATCTCCCTTATGATATATACTCTCAGTAGAACCGCTTGCAATAAATATTAGGAACAATCAAAATATTCAAGG